CACTGCGCCTGAGAACAAAAGCACTCTGTTTTGTGATGGGATAGGGATATGTGCCTGTTAATCATTTGTACTAATGTATCCCCCAATGAAAACACTACCTCCTTCTTCTCACATATTGTCGGGAGAGGACGTAGAGAGAGAGAGCTCTGAGATAGAGAGAGCACTCGTATTAGTAGCGAGAGAGAGATCGAGGGATTAGAAGGTATGCGAGCTATCTAGATCTATATCTCTTATCTTCTATCTACTCTTATCTATATCTCTGCGTCTTCTGTATGTCTCTCTTCTCTCTATCGCTCTCTCTTTCTCTCCTCTTTCCTCTCTCTCTCTCTCTCTCTCTCTCTCTCTCTCTCTCTTTGTCTCTCTTTCTTAGTTCAATGGAGGTTTATTAAAGTGTATCATCTAATCAGGGTTGATTAAGGCAGCAATCTATGAAAACAGTGAATAAGCACATCCCATGGCTACGTGGCCATGCGTTGCCACCGCCACCAATGAACAGAAAGTGCGGGCGAAAGCAGCTTTTCGTCAGCGCCCTCGCTCAGCCATCTCCACCCCCCGTTAACCGACTTCCGGTCTCCCATGGCGGCCGGACAGCACTGAATGGCACCGTAATCCATCTCACTAATTCCCAGGCATTAGGAGTGCCCGCCATTTCCTAATTGGCTAGCGGGTTAGATTAGGATCTGGACAATGGGGCACATTGACGGCATCTCTCGCTGTCATAACAGGGGGATTAGGGAGGTGAATAGAGGGGGCTACTGAGCACCTCCGGCCAGAAGGACCACGGCACAGCACTGACCTGACTGACACACCGTCACAACACACTGGGCCTAGTGGGGCTTCACCCAGCCAACCGGAAGATGATCCCATCACCATCTCTTGTCTACACAGTCCCCCTATCCCGGCCCCTTCAATGCACAGCAGCCCATTGACACACACACTGGGTCTAACTACTGGAGGCAGTGGAGCTGGAGATTTCAATTTGACATGGAACAGTTTCTCCCAGAAGTGGCTTGCTAAGTGAAACTCAAGGCTGTTTTGAAACTAGCTGCATGTTGTTTGTCAGGGACAGAGTACAACAAGTATATGAGATTCAGAGGTCAAGAGGTCAAACCTGTCTCTGTGTGTCTGTATCTCAGTAAGCTAGGCCTTCGACTAGCTGTGAAAGCAACAGCCGGTGCTGCTGGCATCATTTGGTCTTTTAATGCAGTCTGAAGGCTAGCATATGTGTAAGGAGAGGAGAAGGTAAGCAGGGTGGACAGAGGTACAGCCTCAAGTCTTCTTCTGCAGTCTGTCACATCACGTTGGCTAGTTCTAAAACTACACTCACTGTAATAGCTGCTCTCCAAGATGGAGGGAGGGAGGGAGGGAGGGAGGGAGGGAGGGAGGGAGGGAGGGAGAGATCGAGAGAGAGATCGAGAGAGAGAGAGATCAGGGGTGTGCTATGACGATGCTTTGAGAGGGTCTTCTGGTCCTGTGGTGTCTTTCTCACTCTCATCTGATTGATGGATGGCTGGAGAACTGTGAGGTGACATGTGGCTTGCAGCCTCAGGACAGGAGGAGGACCAGAGAGAGACCAGGCTCTACACACTTAGAGAAGGGAGATATTTCTCCCTGTGCTTTTCTATCTCTTGCCATAGTAGCTGTGGATTTTCAGGCTTGATTATAGCTGCTTGAGAGTGGATATAGTATCTTGCGAGAGAGATTGAAGTCTGGACATAGTATATCTTACTATTTCTCTCCAAAGCCTGGGGATATGCACTCACTGCACCAGACCTCTGTTGGGATATGCACTCACTGCACCAGACTTCTGTTGCGCCGCCATCCCAGCAGTGTTTGAAGTTGGAGCCAATATTTCCACTTGCAGATGGTCTGACACACTCATTTAACAGTCATGGGCTGCGATATAGTGCATTTCTTTTGACCAGAGCCCTATGGGCCTATATAGAGAATAAGGTACCATTTTGGACGCACACATGGATCCACATAGCTGTGATCCAGTTACCGATGCCTCTGCCAATCGCCGATGTTAAACAGTGTAGATATACTTAAGCGTCATGCTAATGCATGACATATGAAGCGCAATGCGCAGATGGCTGCCCTTTTGGCAAGGTACATTTATTCCACTGAAGTGCATTGTTGAATGGGTTTGGATTTAAAAACAACGCAGGCTAGATACCCTGACCCGGGCTCCATTACTGGACAATGGTAATAAGCTGGATGTGTTAAGAGCTGATCTATTGGCCCCTGGCTATGAAATCCTATGGATGGATATAACTGTAGTGTAGGGAGAGAGCCATGGGAGGGAAGGGAGAGTAGTAGAGGCCTGGTTGGCAGGCAGCTTTACTGCCCACGCTCCAACTCTAGTCTACTCAGAGAGACATGCTTCATCTCCACACCTTCTCCTCACAGACCCTTCACACTCTCTCTCTCTCTCTCTCTCTCTCTCTCTCTCTCTCTCTCCTTGCTCAGCGGAGAGGAAGAGATGTTCAGACAGCATTATTGTTTTCTCTCTCTCTCCCTCATTCTCTCATCCCCTACTCCGCTCTCCGCTCCCCGGGAGTTCCAGGGAACATTTTGTACGTGGAAAGACGACAGCCGCTTCCGAGTCATTACGGTGTCGTACCTCGGGACAAATAGCTGGGTATCCGCCACTGTTATCTCTGGTAATCTGTTTGTGTTATTCTCGGCTTTGTTTGCAGATTGCTCCAGTGAAAATCCTGGCTTCCCCTCTGATGAATCGTCTGTGTTCGCTCACTCTCTCTCTCTCTCTTTCTTTCTCTCTCTCCTTGCTTCACCTCCTACCGAACAGGAGATTAATAAGTAGGATGTTTGTTGAACATGAAAAAGCATTTCCTGTACAGCACAACTCATTTTTTTTATTTAACCTTTATTTAACTAGGCAAGTCAGTTAAGAACATATTCTTATTTACAATGACGGCCTACACCGGCCAAACCTGGACGACGCTGGGCCAATTGTGCGCTGCCCTATTGGACTCCCAATCACGGCCTGTTGTGATACAGCCTGGAATCGAACCAGGGGTCTGTAGTGACGCCTCAAGCACTGAGATGCAGTGCCTTAGACCGCTGCGCCACTCGGGAGCCCGAGTGTAAATTATCAGCAATCTAGAAATGTCCCAGGTGCCCAAATGCCCCATGGGAACAGCCTTGAAAACGCCCCACTAGGGTCAAAGAACCTACAGTATGTCAGTTTGATTTATTAGGTATGTGGCCCTAATTTATTGTAAATGTATACCAATGGGTTTTTTGTAAATGACAGATAAATATAGGCTTCTTAGATCAGTCACTAGGAGAGAAGAATAACTTTTAGTCTATCGAGGGTGTGTTACCGCATATGCAAGTATATACTCCATCATGCTAAGTGGTGATTTCTACAAGGTAAACCATAGGGGCCGCTGTGTAGGAGTTGTTTTGGCATGTTTATATGTCATTGTATATGTTGTCTGTCAAAGTTTTTTTTAAACTTGTTTGTACACTAGAGGGCACTATATGTTGGGGTCATGGTTCACTGGTCACATGTAGCACAGGTGACCAGGAAGGGTTAGCGGAGACCGAAGAGGGCATACAGTTCTTACCGTATCACAGAACATGCTCATAGATTATATTTGTATTGGAACTAAAAAAGGGAACTCCGAAAATAATTATGTTTGGAAAGCTATTTCTGTGCACGCATTATGGACGTCTCTCCTGTGCCAGTGGCTTTTTATAGGTAATCGTCACTACAAATGTCTCTCTTAAACCAGCTTGGATGTTACACTAATGTAAAATCTAACAGATGACCCAGAACTCTGAAAGTACAGAAAACCACTTTCATGCCTTATAGGTTGCTCCTATTAGAATGTGTCGCCATAGAAAAGTCCCCACTGGAAGACGGTGCTAATTATACAGTAGTTTCGTGACATCAAAGGTTCCCTTTGAAGTGCTGTGCTGTGTGTCGGCCGTTCTGTAGCGCTGTCGGGAGGTGTAATCTGTTATCGTTACGCAGGCCTCATGCAGTGTAGCACTGGAGGTTCCATATTGTATCATACACATAGATACACACACACACACACACACACACACACACACACACACACTGTATGTGTGTTCACTAGCAGCTCCTCTCGTCACCACATATCAACATGGCTCAGATGTGTCTTCCTCGCCCCTAGAGCAGCCCCCTGCCACTCCTCTCTCAACCCTCACCTAGAACTCTCTCTGCCTGGTGTGTTTTGATGTGGAGCACCATGGTTTGATGTTGACGCTGAACTCTGAGAGAATTCCGGTTTCCATTGCATGGTATCGGTTGAAAGTTTAATTAGTACATTTTCACTTAGGCTTATTCTTTACATGAACAAGGGCTTTTTAATATTGTCTCTGTGTGAAATGTTTTTTTAATTTTTATTTTGCTTTTCCCATTTAAGGACAGATTCATCAACATTGAGCTTTAAGACAACGTTGGCAAGCACTTTAATGGCCTTGGTGGAGTCATTTTCTTTTCATTACGTTATTTCACGCTTGGACGCCCTGTCAGCAGCATTGAGAGAGAGGGTGGCGGTGTCCAAAATCGACTTACTGAAGAAAAGCTCAGAGTATCTCACAGCTCTTGCGCCTGTCGCGACAGAATGGCGTGGAGGCATTCAATTTGCACCAATCCAGCACCTCCCGTCAATACTGTTACATCATAATGACATGTGACAGGTGAAAAGAGCTTGTGGCACCAGACTAAGTTGGCAAGCATGGCTGCATCATCATGTGACATAGCAGACATATGAACTGTCTGACTCAACAGACACACACTCAATTTACCCTCGCTAGCCTCGTGGTGCAGTTCTAGCCTATCGGAATGTAGGCATTTTTGAGGAATGTGTTAATGGAACTGGTATTGAGTGAGGCAGTAATTCAGTCTGCTTTTTTGGGCCAGTCTAATCATGCCACAGGTATCGAACAGTACCCCCACCTCACATGTTCCCATATAGCACACAGACCCCAAATTCTGCCATATGCTAGACTCTACAGTATCAAAGGCTGCCATAGGCCAGGCTCTTCCAGCACCAAAGGCTGCCATAGGCCAGGCTCTTCCAGCACCAAAGGCTGCCATAGGCCAGGCTCTTCCAGCACCAAAGACTGCCCTAGGCCAGGCTGTTCCAGCACCAAAGACTGCCATAGGCCAGACTTTTACAGCAGTGTTAACACGGATGTGGGTATAAGCTGTTTAACACCTCAGCGATGGAGTACCTTGGAGCATTCACAGCCAACATCAATTAGCCTAACCTCTGGGGCTCAAACAGGCTAATTAGCACACTGCATTAGCAGGAGCATTTAGGAACTAATTTATACCTTGATATACCTTTAGCATCATATCCTCCACAACACAACACTGACTGGCAATTACAGCTGTCTCTCAAACAGACACTATGCTTAGGAGAGAGAGTTTGGGATTTTTTGGTCATTTAGCAGACGCTCTTATCCAGAGCGACTTACAGGAGCAATTAAGGTTAAGCACCTTGCTCAAGGGCACATGAACAGCTTTTTCACCTAGTCGGCTTGGGGATTCTAACCAGCGACCTTTCGGTTACTGGCCCAACGCTCTTAATCGACTGGCAAATGTGGTGAGAACTAGCCACTTATGCTATCGCTAACATGATTAAAAGGGTGCTACTGTTAGCATTTAGCAGGCTAGTGTTCTCTAGATAGCAGCCCTTTGAGGTTGTGTAGAGGCTCTTTGTCTACTCTCTGAGAGGCTTTGACACTGTATGCAGATTTTACTTATTTCCCTCTTCTCCGTTGGAGTTGCATCACTCAGCTGAAACATTCCTGTAACGTTACCTAGTGAAGGACTCATCGCTCATCATCCCAAAGGACAGCGCTTAAGTATTCAGTTTAATTCAAATGTGCAACCAAGAGACCCGCTCAGAATACATGAATATAACTGATTCAGGGTCAGCTTGTCCTTAATCGACCGTTCTGTTCTGATTCTTTATGAGACGTTGAGGTGTTCAAAGTATGATCCTTTTGTTAAAGGGATACTTCGGAATTTTGGCAATTAGGCCCTTTATCTACTTCCTCAGAGTCGAGATGACTTGCAAAACTACCTCTAACTTCCTTCATAATAGACACAGATACATAAAAATGGTATCCACGAGTTCATCTGACTCATTAAACAAAATCCCAAAGTATCCCTTTAATGTACTGTCATGGTGTACATGGTGTATTTATGAACTGGACACACAGTTCATAAAAAGGGCCATAATGCTTACCCTGCTCGTCTCTCCTGTATGCAGGTATACACAGTTTCTTAGTGAGTTCCCTGATTCTAACTGTGCTCCTCCCCTCTCCTCTCCGGTAGGTACAACCAGGCAGCCCAAGGAAGGAGAGGTCCCGGGGGTGGACTACAACTTTGTGACTGTTGACCGGTTTATGGAATTGGAGAAAAGTGGAGCCTTACTAGAGAGCGGAACTTATGAAGGTAAAAGCAAGCTTTTCGCTTTTTGGGGATTGTATCGTGTGGGTTTTTTTTGGTGGTCTTTTCTGATTTTGTTCAATTGCTTGTTGGAATAATTGTATTATGTAGCTGTTTGTTTATATTTCCTTTACCATCCTTCCAATCTCTGACAGAGAAGAATGAGTTGTGTGCTTTTAGACAGCTCTCAGATATCAATACATAGCTTACAGAAAAGCTGTTTTAATCAGAGTAGAGAAAACTCACTCTCGGGCACACACCCCACAACACCACTCCACCTCTCCACTCTGCTATCTCCTCCATGCTGGCTCTCATCTGAGCCCTAATGGCTCCAGAATAAACACGACTCACTCCAGTTTCTCTCCATCTGCCCTGGTCTGTGTGGCTCTGTGCTGGGTGTACTAAACCACTGGCTTTCCACTTTGTCAGATACAGGGGACTCCACCACACAGACAGATAATGCATTAACTCCATGTCAGCTCCCTCGCCGAGCCCTCCCGCTCAGCCTCGCGCCTGTCATGGCAGAAAAATAAATTGCAGATGGTCAATTTAACGGTTGGTTGCCAGGAGCGATGATAGATTCTCTCTCCGAGAGAGAGAGAGAGAGGCAGAGAGAGGCAGATAGAGAGAGAGGCAGATGGGTCAGTGTGTCTCTTGGCTTTCATTTAGATAATAGAAAGGTATGCAACTCATCTAGCATTGTAGCATACTACTGGAGATTTTCTTCAGTTCATGAGGAATGTTTGAAGGTTTGAAGCATGCGGTGCTGTTTTGTGCATTTTAGATTTGAGTTCCCTAAAAGTCTGACTGAACATGCTTTTAGATTTTAGGCAGCAGCAGGGTAAAATAGTCTGTGGTCATTGGTTTTAAGCCTTTCCGTTCAATTTTACAGCAATGTTCTCTCATTTTCATTTCAGTCACAGGGCCTTTTTCTAACCACAGCAAATATCTGAGATACAAACCAACATAGGATTTTCCAGCTACTATTTTCTCCATGGTCCTACAACTCTCTGCAGCATACGTGTTGTTGGGGTTAATCATGTTAATACTTAATCCCCAGGATTTGAATAATCTCATTGGATTTTCAACATATCTTTGGGTGTCTGGTTTCTCTTCTAGAAGTACTGAAGCACCACTGAGAAGTGCAGGGTAATCTCACTCTCATAGAAACCCTCTCTACCTACAGGACCTAATCTCCAGTGGAGAGGCAGTGCCTTGGAGCCTGCTCTCAAGGGAACTAGGTTCCATTGCTGTGGCAACATCATATCTCCCCCAGTCCATTTCACACCGTGTTTACAGAGAGTAGAGCCCAAACACTTCATCAGATCTCACATCAGCTAAACAAAGACATCCGCTGTCTCAGGACTTTGCCAGGTATCTCTGGGCTTAAAGCTGTAGCAAGGGATGTTTGTGTGCGTGCGAGCGCGTGTGTGTGTGGAGGAAATCTTGCAGCTAGCAGACTCAGGGGCTGGAGGATCAGAGTGGGCGATGTGTGAAAGCGTCAGCGAGGAGGAGCCCAGGGGAGCAAGCTTAGAACAACCCCAGAAACGCTTTGCATGCTGGGAGTTGGCAACTCCGCCCTGGGGAGACAGACGGGATGACCACACAGAGCCCAGAGAGAGAGACAGGGTTCTTCTTTATTTAATTACAAACCACACACACACTCACTCAATCACTAGGAATCTGTGCATGGTTTAGTGATTGATTGATGTGCGGTGGATAACACTAATGTGTCAGCAGACACAAAAGCGCTAACAAGTGATGTTAGTGAAAATGCCTGGGGTGTGGGCCAGACAGTGTCAAGCTTTAGTTACCAATATGAAGTCTTGTGGGTGGCTGTGTTTGTAAGTGTATGTGTTCTGGTTCTGGAGTGTTTGAATGTGTTTGAGTACCTCCCCTTGACGTGCCTTGAGACTTACGTGTGAGCTTTTAAGAAGTATATGAACTTTAACTCCCAGCGTGTGTGCGTTCAGTGTTCATGGATCACCTGGTTTTAGACAACAGAACAGGACATCAACTGACCTTCCACTTCCTGGTCCTGGTCCAATTGGGTTATGTAATAATGACATCATCTTCCCGCATGACTTTCTCACTTGCTCTCTCCCTTTCAATATTTCATTGTACAATATATTTCCCTTTAAATAGACAGTTTAATTTAATGTTCCGATTGTGCCTGTGTTGTCTCCTGTGATCCCTACTTTAGCGCTTGAATATTAACTTGTAACAAGAGAAAAGAAAGAGGGGAGAAAAACATCCAAGCAAATATTTTTATAGACGCATCATCAAAGGCAAACAAAATGTGTCCAAAACTCAGGCATGTTGCATATTAAGCAGGTTTGTGCTCACTCATGTGACTTGAGGTTCAACTCCTGAATGTGTGTATCGGTCCTCTGGTACAGATAACTATTATGAAAAGATAGCAAAAATGCTCTAAATTGCTCATATATCACTTTTAATAATGACAACGTTTCAATCTGAGGTGAAACTTCCTCAGGTCATTTTCGATCCAAGCATTGTAGCTATTAAAGTGGATGCACTGTAGGAGCAATAGCCTAGGCTTTAGATCAGCAGACTAACACAGTCTCATGGGGAGACCTGGGTTAAAACCTCAGTCTGTCACATTGGCCATTTTGATTCTTTAACCTCACCCACCAGCACCTAAGTATAAATTATGTGTGTATGACTGACTAAGTATATAAAATGATCATTAATATCAAGTATCCCTTCCTTCCTTCTCCAGAGAACTATTACGGCACCCCTAAGCCCCCGTGCGAGCCCAGCCCTCTGCTGCTAAATGTAACAGATCAGCTCCTGCCGGGCGCCCGACCCAGCTCCAAGGGGAAGAGGAAACGGAACAAGTCGGTCAGCAACATGGAGAAGGCCGGCATCGAGCCACCCGAGGATGAGGAGGAAGAGAGGCCCGTTGTCAATGGCAACGGCAATGGCATCACCCCAGGTTTGGTTCCAACGCAGACATAGTGTTGATGTGCAACAATAGATCCTCGTCATGACAACAAGGTCACCGCCGAAACAAGATAGCAACGACCCGTGGGATTTGATCAGACAACATAGCAACAGTCTATCGTCTAGGTTACATCGTAGCAACCAGCTCTCAGTCAGGGCAATACAATAACATAATAAAGGATGGATACATGTCCCTACTGCCTACAGGGAGCTCTTCCCATGCCAAAGCTGCTCAGATCATCATCATCCTAATCATCATAGAATCTAAATTAAAAACAGTTTTAATGCCTATAAAAAGCATGGGTACGTCCCTCAAGCAGACTGTCCCATGTAGCAGAACTATAGACGGTTAGGACTGATAGTGTTCAGAGACAACAGCCTTACACTGTATCCCATCTCATCCCATCTCCCAGTCATTAGATCAGATCACAGTACAGTTAGTCTACGTCACATAGACAGAGGCTAGACCCCCCCCCCCCCCCCCCCTGCACCGATACAGAGAAACATCGCCTGGAGGCTCTGATCAAATCAAGCGTGGGATTCCACTAAGCAGATTTACTGGATCAATGCAAGCCACATCACAGTCATTACTCTCAACTATGAGCAAAGATGCTGGCTGTCTAACTTAATATAAGGATGAAGAAACCCTATGTATGCCATGAAACAAAATAGTATCATTCATTTTGTTATGACGTTTGTTAATGTAAAAATAAATGACACTGTTACGGTAGTTTCTTAGTAAAACCTTTTGAGACCTTTAGAAAATGGCTTTACATTATAAATGCAATCCATTATTATTGATCAACCTATTAATTGTACTGTATGTTCTGGTCAGGTAAACCCTATAACTGCCCTTGAGCTATAGGTCTGGAGTAGTCTCATGTTCTGGTCAGGTAAACCCTATAACTGCCCTTGAGCTATAGGACTGGAGTAGTCTCATGTTGCTGTACTTTCTCACAGTAGCTCTGCTACTCATTGGGCTATGTGAACAAAGCTAAGAAATGTTCGATGTTGAGTCTTCAGCCTAGAGCTGCAGTCCACAGGTGTAGTTTTCTGTTACTGAGTGTATGGACAGTGCATAGATAGGTAGAGAGAGAGAGAGAGAGAGAGAGAGAGAATCGATAGAGCAGGCAGTGTGATGTGAGCAGATAGCTCATAGATTAACTCTCCCTCCCTACCTCTGCCGGCTGCTGCTCTGGCTGTCCTCTGGGATGGCCCAACCAAGAGCCACAACTCAAACTAGGACACATCATCAGCTCCTCCACTCTCTCTCTCTCAATCTTCTCTGCCTCCCACCTCTATCACTGCTCTCTCTGTCTATTTCCCTCTCTCTTTCAATCACTTTCCATCTCTCTCTACTCGGTATCCTTACTCTTTCTCTCTATCTATCTATCTCTCTATTTATGTCCCTGGGTAATTGCCACCCTCTCCCTATTTGAAATCCTCTCCATCTTTCTTTTTATCCCGTTCCATCTCTTTTTCCTTGGCACTCAATCACGCTGCATCCTCTTCCCTTCCCTCCTCCTCTCGTCCCTCCTCGTCCCTCCCCTCCTCCTCTCTTCCCTCCTCTTCCCTTCCCTCTCCTCGTCTTCCCATCCTGCTCTCTCTCCAGCCTCCTCTCTATCCCCGCTCGTACGTTCCCTCTCTACCTTGACCGTCCTCCTCTCATTGCCCCTCGGTTCCCTTCCAGCCTCACTTCCCTTCCTCCTCTCTCTTCCCTCCTCCTCTCTTCCCACTCTTCCCTTCCCTCCTCCTCCCTCTCCCTCACTCACCCTCTCTTCCTCCCTCCCTCTTCCCTTCCCTCCTCCTTCCCCCTCCCCTCCCTCCCTCCCTCTCTTCCCTCCTCCTCTCCTGTCCTCTCCCTCCTCCTCTTCTCTCCTCCTCTCCTCCCTCCTCCTCTTCCCCCCTCTCTCTCCTTTCCTTCCTCCTCCCCCTTCCCTCCTCCGCTCTCTCTCCTTTCCCCTCCCCTCCTCCTTCTCCTCCTCCTCTCTTCCTCCCTTTCCTCCATATAGTCCACTCTGACTTACCTTCTCTCTCTCTCCTCTCTACTCCCGAACATTAACTGTACAGTTCCCATAGTAAGTCAGCTCTGACTCACCTGTCATTCTCTTCTCCTACTCAGAGTCCAGCGAACATGAAGACAAGAGTACAGATGTCTCCTCGGGGGATGTCCCCCCCCAGACCTGTCCCTCCACCGAGACCCCCACCACCCCTAACAACGAAGGCCCCCAGGAGGAGGGGGGCGAGCTAGCCAAGTCACCCCCCAAGCCAGATGAGAATGAGAGTGAGCTAGGCCCTCTGCCAGACAACTGGGAGATGGCCTACACAGAGAAGGGAGAGGTGTACTTTATCGAGTAAGTGCCACCGCTGAAGAGAAAGGTGTAAAATTATCCCAACACACACACACAGCCAACAGCAGCCAAATAGTTGACTGTTGTTGTAATGAGATTTAGAGGTTCTTGTCCATGCATTGTTTCACCAGGGAGAATAGAAGGTAAAAGTTGACCAAGCACTTTAAGCAGCTTTCACACGCACACACACACACACACTAACACACACTCCAACTGTAATTAATTCTATTGTTCTGTGTGGCTAGCTGTATTGGAGCTATTTTACAACAGGTCTAATTCATTGGACCTGTTAGATTTTTACTGCTGCAATATAATTGTAGAGGTGAGTTGTCTTTCTCTTACATTTGAATAATATTTAAACATCTGTGGAAGTTTATTTCAATGTCTTCTGACTGTGTGTGTGAGTTTGTACGAGCCTGTCTGTGTATGTACATCAGTCGATAGGCAGGTTATTACAGAATCCTTTAGGAAATTAACAATCCTTAGAATTTTTGTGACAGAAACATCATCCGATTCCAAGGGGACCGCCTTTCATTGCGTCGTATAACAGAGTAGCAGAGAAAACATCCAGCAGGGTTAGATATAATGTAGTTGCAAGTCAGCCAGTCAGCCAGCCAGCCAATCAGCCAGCCAGCCAGTCAGCCAGCCAGCCAGTCAGCCAGCCTGCCAGTCAGTCAGTTAGCCAGCCAGCCAGCCAGTCAGTCAGTCAGTCAGTTAGCTAGTCAGCCAGTCAGTTAGCCAGTCAGTTAGCCAGCCAGCCAGCCAGTCAGCCAGTCAGTCAGTCAGTCAAATACTTATTGTGTATCCTCTCCTCCACAGAGGCAGACTGTTAATTCCTCCCACTGCAGACTAGACTAGGTCTCCATATGTCTCGTCCACCCAGGCCCTGTGTGTTCCTACATCTAGAAGAATCAATCTGGAACTTTGTGTGCTAACGCATTTAGCCGCCGAATTTGTAGCTGTACGTTTTGGGGAAAGTAAATGATGCGGTGCCAAGGCGGTATCAGATGCCAACGGGATGGCTCCCTTTGATTTGTCTCCAGATTCGATCATTTTGTTTATCCGGAATCCTCCGAGAGAGAGAGAGAGATACGGGGGAAGACAGGGAGAGATAGAAAGAGAGGGAGAAGGAGGAAGGGAGGAAGACGGATAGAAAGTGGGAAAGAGAGAGGGGTGAGAAGAGATTGAAAGGCAGAATCAAAAGGAAAAAGGAGGGAGAGAGAGAGAAGGAAAGGGAGAGAGAGAGAGAGAGGAAGGGGGATTTCATCACTGAGATTTTCAAGAAGTGCTCACAGTGTCCCCTCATCCCAAGGATGTATTCGGGGGAAAAAAATTAGGCAGCTCGTCCCGCTTTCCTGTAGCCACGTTTCCCTCCCTCCCTCCCTTCCCCCTCATGTCCTGTCATCGTCTTCAAGGGAGGGCATTATGTCCTCAAATGAGATAAAGAGATCCATTGAAGTTTCCTTGGCACTGCCTCTCATCTGATCACAGTCCAGTTTTACAGCCCTGTTGATCCTGCCAAGCCCACAGCTGTTCAGTTCTATCACTCACACCTCTCCCCTTCTCCCACCATCCCTCCATCCTTCCCGGCACTAATGAGAAACAGTGTGCAAATTAAAAGTATCGATTGCCATTTTGTCAACCTAAAGGTTTTTTCTTCTCGCCAGCCAGTTTAGAGGGTGGGCACACAGGGGATGTCTCTTTTTCTCTGAAATGATGCTGAATTGAGAATCTCCTCCCTCATTGGCTCTCTCTCTCGTTCTGTTTCTATCTCTTCCTTTCTCTCTCGTCAAGCCACAACACCAAGACGACGTCGTGGCTGGACCCGCGGCTGGCGAAGAAGGCGAAGCCACCGGAAGAATGCAAAGAGGACGGTTAGTGTCTGCTCTCTCTTCTCTCTCTCTCCTTTTCTGAGTCACTCACTTGTCTCTCCCATATAACCTTTGAATTCCTTTTGGGTCCAAATCATTAGCGTCTATTCATCCTCTGAAGGCATTTTGAAATATCTTCAGTGTTTTGATCAGAGAGATAAAAGGATGGATGTTAACGTATACCATTATATATGCACAGTCATCAGACACTGAGGACAGTGGTTTATTTTGGGTCCTTGTATGACACTTGTAGATGTGTACAGTGTCTTTATAACCATGGGTGTGCTCCCTGAGCTGTGTGGAGATGGATGCTAGTGATGGCGCCTGTTGAGGGGCTGGGGGAGTGGGTGGGGTGGTAAACAGAGACCTCTTTATCCCCCGCTGGGAGTAGAGAGCTATGCACCACCACAGAATGGACACTATACACACACAAACACAAACACACACACACACACACAGAGGCACAAGCAGGCGGCAGAGGGGAAGAGAGAGAGTGTCATTTAGATTGTGTGACTAAGAGAGTAAGAAGATGAAAAAGCTATGCAGTAATATAGTATTGCAGAAGAGATACAGCCTATGACCATGAGGTGAGGAATAGGATGTTTTTGCATCCTTCTGGATGAAAAATCTATCTCTCATTTTTCTCCATTTGGCAAAGTGCTGTTGAGTGATCTCTGGCATTGATATAGGATTCTGCTCCAGATTCCCGCGCTATCTCCCCAACCCTGAAGCCCCTCTCGCACACTATATTTCTCTAACATTTCTCTCTCTCTCTCTCTCTCTCTCTCTCTCTCTCTCTCTCTCTCTCTCTCTCTCTCTCTCTCTCTCTTCACTGCTTTCCCGCTGTCTCCCTTTATGTCTACCACTCTGTCTTCTCTCTCTCCCTCTCTCTCTCGCTCTCTCTCTCTCACGCTCTCTCTCTCTCTCTCTCTCACTCTCCTCTTTTTCTCTTCTTCTACCTCTCTTTTTCACTCACTCTCGTCTCTCTCTGTTCCCCTGTCTCATTCTCTCTAACTTACCCATCAGTCTCACCCTCCATCTTTCTCCTATCACCCCTTCTCTCTCTCCCTGTTCTATCTCTCCCTCTTTCTCTCTGTGCACGTCTGGGTGAGATTTATGTGTTGAGTAGTAGACAGGGCTATAGCAGCGTTGTATGGTGGAGGGGAATGGAGCTCAAATCAGACACAGAGACAGTCAGGCTGAGGGGAATGGAGCTCATATCAGACACAGAGACAGTCAGCAGGTTCGAGATGAGGTCTCATTTGTGGGGCGAATCATTCTAGCTGAGCCCAGCTAAGACAATCATGTCTGTCTGATAAACTGTGGCTGTGTGAGTAAGTGTTTATCTCACAATCACATCCACCACACTAGCCTGGCCCCCCACACACAAACACACACACACCTACTGTATATACACATAGAGAGTAGGGCTCCAGTATTCTCAGGCCATCCAAAATATAAGGAGGAAGAAGTAGGAGACAAGAAGATAGTTGACCACTTTGGAAGATGACAAGAAAGACGAAACAAAGAGGATGTCTTAGAAAGTTGAATCCCAGGAAATCGAATTCATCATCATCTAGTTCAGGGATGGCCAACTGGCAGCCCCCCTTTTGAAAGCCCTTGGATCCGTTTTTCTCTTGTTATGTCAGTCACTGATTGTCAGTCAATGTCAGCAAAAACATTTTTATCAGGATTTAATTACTGGTCGGGGGCCCCCATTGATATTGTTAGTCAGTCTCACTCAGATATCATATTAAAAACAGAGAGCAGCTCCTTTTCCTCTCTGCCCCATGGCAAAATGAGTAGAATTACATGAAATTGGTTATAAAATTGCTAAATCTTCTCTCCGCACCATGGCAAAATGTGTAGAACTGCACAAAATGTACTTAAAAACAAACAAACAAATTATCTCCGCTGTCAAGAGGGGGGCCACTAAAATGTTCTGCTCACAATGTGTGTGAGGGAGGCAGTATGGATGTGGGTACGCAGACCCGTGAGCAACTGTGGCCCCTCATGATGTGTTCAGATGTGTTGCTGCTCCCACCCCTGTCAAAGTTGCCCATCCCTTATCTAGTTGATCTGGGTACCTCCAATCCCATTCCTCCAGTCGGGACGTTCCATGCTATGAGATGTGATGCACCTGTATGTGAAAGAGATTCATATTGATCTAGTTGGACGGATCATTCAGTAATCTCTGTGTAGAGCAACCAGCTGGAGAAGGGGATCTTAGAGGGTCTCCCCAGGGCGGGCTGGGGAATGGGAATCCAGGGGTCCCACGCCAGGGCTAGGAGCTGGAATCAGGGGAATGTGAGAATCTGCCCACGTTTCCCTAGCTGACAGCTGGGTAGCAGCGAAGCAGGCCTCCCTGAGAGATGTGTAGGAGAAACGAGCTGGCACTGTATATTGTGTATTGATTAGGAGGCGTGTGGGGCGGGGGTGTAGTGTGTGTGTGTGTGTGTGTGTCCACGCTCTGGTGAGCGTTATCAGGAACACAGGGTGGGGTCTAAACTCTGTCTCTGAACAACAGACGAGAGGTAGGAGGAGAGAGACACCGCCAAACAGGGAGACATGGAGCCCAGAGCATGGAAGGAACACCCACACCGAAGAAACAGCACTATACATCCTCTAGCATTCATTCTGATCTATAAACAACTTATACATGCAGATCTGTAAATTATTCAGGCATATGTCTGCTACCTGTGTGTGTGTGTGTGTGTGTGTGTGTGTGTGTGTGTGTGTGTGTGTGTGTGTGTGTGTGTGTGTGTGTGTGTGTGTGTGTGTGTGTGTGTGTGTGTGTGTGTGTGTGTGTGTGTGTGTGTGTGTGTGTGTTCGTTCGCCAGCAGCAGAGCGGTTGTCAGCTGATTCCCTCGGTGTCCATAAGGAAACCATAGAGAACTACAGAGTACATCATCTCTCTCTTCTACGCGCTACACCTCCTCTCTCTCCCTCTCTCCCCTCATCCTCATGTATTCTTCTCCCCCTTTCTCGATTATGCCCACCCTGCTTTTCCCTAATCCCCCTCTTGACCTCTCACCCCGTCCTCCTCCCGCCAATCAATTGAATTTCAATCAATAAGTTATTGGCAGGGTTCTAAAGTACTAACATACAACTTAACGTCAACCTTCTCTCCACTCTT